ATCCTTCCCTCCATGAGCAGTCGGGCTTTATTTCCTGGAGGATGGACTGGTTGGATCTTCTCGCAGTCCAAGGCACTCCCAGAGGCTCCTATTCCCTCCAAAACCCAAAAAGGGAGCGGGACCAGGGAACCTAACGATAATTGACAGGTGGCTTGCCCTATGATTGCAGCCAAAAGAAGCCACCTATCTGCAGAGTCCCTGAAACTTAGGACTGCAACAAACATTAAATGCAAAGCAAACAAAAATGGAGCTCCTGGTGCAGTTGTACCTGCACACCTTCGACAATGCAAAAATTAGGTTCTTGTGGGTTTTTTTCGGGCTATAGGGCCATGTTCTAGAGGCATTTCTCCTGACGTTTCGCCTGCATCTATGGCAAGCATCCTCAGAGGTAGTGAGGTCTGTTGGAATTAGGACAATGGGTTTATATATCTGTGGAATGGTTGGGGTGGGGCAAGGAGCTCTTCTCTGCTGGAGCTAGGTGTGAATGTTTCAGCTGACCACCTTCATTAGCATTTGCAGGCCTGCCTGAGCCTGGGAAAATGTTTTGTTGAGTGGTGTTAAGATGTGCCTGCAAAAAATATTTTTTAAAAAAAGAAGGGATGGAGGCTGCAATGCCTCAGGCGGCCACCGGGGGCAGCAGCGCCCTTGCGGCTCCGCCTGAGCCAACAATCTCCCCCGCTCCCTCCTGCCTTGGCTTTCCTTCCGGTGGAGTTCCTTCTGTCTTGCTGCTCAGCTGGGCGGTGGGGAGCTTCCTTCCTTCCTTCCTTCCGGGTGAGGCCTTCCTTCCTTTCTTCCGGGTGAGGCGGAGAGGGAGCCCCGGGGGAGAAGCCAGGGCAGGTAGGCCGGCAAGCAGGGTCTCCCGGGGAAGGCTTCCACTTCCTCCCTTCTTCCATCCATCTTTTCTTCCAACCTCCCTCCCTCCCTCCCTTTGGCACCATGCTTATGGTACTCCAGGGATTGCAGCTGGCCCTCTTTGGCAGGGGAGGGCTCAAGGCCTTTGGGAAACTAGAACTCCCAAGGTCCCCTGGCCTGGAGCCACGGCGCTGCAGGTGGGAGACCAAAACAACCCTGATGGGGGAGTGATTGTGTAGATTTCTAGCATCTCCCCATAGATTTGTACAAAGGGTTTCAATTCTGGGTTGTTGTAGGTTTTCCAGGCTGTATGGCCATGTTCCAGAAGCATTCTCTCCTGACGTTTCACCTGCATCTATGGCAGCCTCCTCAGAGGTTCTGAGGTATGTTGGAAACTAGGAAAATGGGGTTTATATCTCTGTGGGAAGTCCAGGGTGGGAGAAAGAACTCTTGTCTGCTGGAAATAGGTATTTTCCGGGCTGTATGGCCATGTTCCAGAAGCATTCTCTCCTGACGTTTCTCCCACATCTATGGCAAGCATCCTCAGAGGTTGTGAGGGTCTGTTGGAAACTAGGAAAACAGGGTTTATATATCTGTGGAAAGTCCCGGGTGGGAGAAAGAACTCTTGTCTGGGTTGTTGTAGGTTTGTCGGGCTATATGGCCATGTTCCAGAAGCATTCTCTCTTGATGTTTCACCCACATCTATGGCAAGCATCATCAGAGGTTGTGAGGGTCTTTTGGAAACTAGGAAAATGGGGTTTATATATCTGTGGAAATGTCGGGTGGGAGAAAGAACTCTTGTCTGTTGAGGTTTTTGGGCTGTATGGCCATGTTCCAGAAGCATTCTCTCCTGATGTTTCACCTGCATCTATGGCAGCATCTCAGAGGTTGTGAGGTCTGTTGGAAACTAGGAAAATGGGGTTTATATATCTGTGGAATGATGTCCAGGGTGGGAGAAAGAACTCTTGTCTGGTTGTTGTAGGTTTTTTCAGGCTATATGGCCATGTTCTAGAGGCATTCTCTCCTGACGTTTCGCCCACATCTATGGCAAGCATCCTCAGAGGTTGTGATGTCTGTTGGAAACTAGGAAAATGGGGTTTATATATCTGTGGAAAGTCCAGGGTGGGAGACAGAATTCTTGTCTGGGTTGTTGTAGGTTTTTCAGGCTATAGGGCCCTGTTCTAGAGGCATTCTCTCCTGACGTTTCGCCTGCATCTATGGCAAGCATCCTCAGAGGTAGTGAGGTCTTCAGTGGGGGCACTGGATGTCTTAAACAGGTGTAGTTTTAAGACATCCAGTGATTATTTTGCATGTTTCATTCAATGCTGTGTCCACCTGCTTTGCATAGGCATGCTCGATAATTGTGTAAAACAAGGCTTTTTAAAAAAAACAAATTTCTACATGGAACACTTTGAAAAACAAGCCCTGGAAATAGCAACAAAAAATCCCACTGTATGGATCAGATATGTGGATGACACTTTCACTTGCACTAGAGTTGGCCCTCCTTCCTGTAATCCTAACACTTTAAATGGCTAAGGATATTACCGTCCCAGCCGGGCCTTATTGAATTGAATCTTGAACTTTCCCTTGGCTCTATTTAGGAACCATTGCACATACCCTGAGCCCTCCGTATTCAGCACTTAATTGTTTAGCCGTGATATTGTTTTAAAATGTTTGTTGTAACTGTGAAATGTTTTTTTTCTGATGTGTTGCTGTTATTTTTATTTTATTGTGTTTGTTTTAATCTGTATTTTTCAGGCTTGTCCCCTTGCAAGCCACCCCGAGTCCCTTCAGGGAGATGGTGGCAGGGTATAAAAATAAAATCGTTAATATTAGTAGTAGTAGTAGTCGCTGTCCCCTGCCACTTTGCTATGGCCCACTCTGTGTATGTGTATTTGAGTATATATGCGTATATGTGTGTGTTTGTGTATATATGTGATTTTGTGCATGCGTTGCAATGTATTTTTGGGTTTTTTTTTTTTTGCTTTCAGAGTCTCCTGCTGTGTTTTTCAGTATTTTTTATGAGTGATGGTCACTTGTTGGTCTGATATGTGTCTTGTGTCCAAATTTGGTGTCAATTCTTCCAGTGGTTTTTGAGTTATGTTAATCCCACAAATGAACATTACATTTTTTATTTATATAGATTCTAAATTACGCTTTCTATGTAGTATTAGCTTAGCTACCTGATGTTGCTTGGTTAGGTTTTTGTGCCAATTTTTTCTCCAGATCCATCATCAGCGGAGTTCATAGTGATCTCTGGGTATGAGTGAACTACAATTCCTACCGTCCAGAGTCATCCCCCCCCCCCCCCAAACCCTCCAATTAGTAAAGTTGGACTTGGTGGATCTGTGTGATAAGTTGGGGCCAGATCCATCTCCAATAGGGTTCGCAGTGCTCTCTGGGTGGGGGTGAACTGTATCTCCTATCATCCAGTGTAATGGCCTGTCTGGTATCTGTGTCCCACATTTGGTTCAGATCTGTTGTTGGTGGGAGTCACAGGGCTCTCTGGATGTGGGAACCATTTTGGAAACACATACAAACAGACGTTCATATATATAGAGAGAGACACATTTGCTTGGCAAAATGAGATTGGACTGGATGGCCCTCGCGATCTCTTGTGATTCTCTACGATCTGTGAGAGACATAGTTTCATTCCTACTGCTCGTTAAGAAGGCCAAAGGAATAGATTTTTGGAGAGATTCTACTCAAACTCAATTTTTAATCTATTTCCCCCTCTATATTTCATTCTTTTTAATTCAGGAAGAATCCCCCTGTTCAGCTCAGGAATATGTCTCCAAGCTTCTGGAATTGCCTGCATTGAGTCCTTCCATTGGATAAGGAAAGAACAGCAGCCCTTTGCTACTGCACATTCAAAGCAAGGTCGGCCGACTCTTTGGTTCAGGGTATTTGCATGGAAGCAACGCTAGTGACTCTTCATCCCAGAACTGGAGTTTGGCTTGAAGGGAGGAAGGGGATGGAGGAGCCGTATCCCGCAAGTCTGCAGCTGGAACAAGGTACTCCAAGAGAAGGAGGGAAAGCCGGAATCAGGGTTCAGTCTGAATATGTGACCGAAGGATCAACATGGAAAACACTGGAAGAAGGCAAGGACTTTCTAGGTCAAAGGATGCAGCAGCACTGGGAAACCCAATGGCAGGAGTTCCTGAAGACCTTCCAGTCACCTTCCTCGGCATGGGGAAGCCTTCCACCGACAGAGGAAATGCCGTGGGACGAGGCCAAGGCTTTCCTGGCCTCCTTTGAGCAAGTGGCCAAAGCCTGTCGGTGGCCGAAGGAAGAGTGGGTGGCCCGGCTGTTGCCCGCATTGAGCGGAGAAGCAGAGCAGGCCTTTCAGAGCCTAGAAGCCGGGGACAGGGAGGATTACGGGAAGGTGAAGGTGGCCATCTTGAGAGCGGAGACCCTGAGAGCGGAGCTGCAGCGCCAGCATTTTCGGCAGTTCTGCTGCCAAGAGGTGGAGGATCCGCGAAGGGTTTACAGCCAAGTCCAGGAGCTTTGCAGTCGGTGGCTGAAGCCGGAGAGACGCAGCAAGGAGCAGATCCTGGAGTTGCTGGTCCTGGAGCAATTCCTGGCCAGCCTTCCCCAAGATCTGCAAGGATGGGTCCGAAGCGCAGGGCCAGAGACCTGTTCCCAGGCTGTGGCCCTGGCAGAAGACTTCCTCCTCAAGAGGCAGCAAGAGGCCGATTCCGCCAAGTGGCAGGTGAGGCTCCAAGGGCGATTGAAGCAGAGGCTGAGTGGCCATCTGTTGGGAGAGCTTTTATTGTGTATTGTTGCATGGTGGAATGGGGTTTGGGTAGGCAGGTCTTGAAATTTTGCATGAGCCATCCCTTTCCACCTGACAAATTTCTACATCACCTGGGTATATAAGTATATAAAGTCTATCTTGGGTATATAAAATATTTACTCATAACAAATCAGCATTTGTAAGGTTTGCTCCACAGCATGGCTTTCCTTTGTATGAAATAACAACAACAACAACAACAATAATAATAATAATAATAATAATAACAACAACAACAAGGCTGTGGTATTTTTTTACCTTCGTCTAGCATAACCGAATCTAAAACAAACCCACTCGCCTGAGAGAATTCCTTTTCCTTCTCTCCATTTCCAAAATCTCCCTTCCTGTTTCTCAGGGACCATCGCAGGATGTGTATGTTGATTCCTTGGAGTCAGAAGGGAAGTCGGCAGATGTTGCTCAGGGACAGATTTATGAAGAAGCCCAGCCGGTGAAATATGCCGCGATCCCTTTGCTAGGTAAGGCTTCACAGGTCTGTGACAATGAATGTGCCACACATAGGCTACACTTACCTCGTAGAATTCATGTAGTCTGACATTTTTTAACTGATATGACTTAATACTATGGGATCATAGTACATTTGCACAAGCCCTTGCCCTGTCCTCTCGAAACTGAACATGCCCACTTTTTCCAGCTACTTGTTGTTGATGTTGATTGATTATGTATTTTTATGATGTTTTAACTTTTCTGGTTTTAATTGTTTTAATAATACTGTTTATTTGTTCCGTCCTCCACGCGCTCCTCCCTTACAAATACAGTTTTTCATTGTCATCTCATCCGTTGTGTGTGTTTGTTACTGTATCTTGCACTGCTCTGTTTTGTTCTTATGTTCACTTATGTCGTTGCCTTATTTTATTGCGTTGTTATTTTTGCTGTTTTGTATTCATTTTATTGTATTATCGGGCTTGGCCTCATGTAAGCCGCCCTGAGTTCCCCTTTGGGGAGATAGTGGCGGGATATAAATAAAATTTATTTATTTATTTATTGTTGACACAAAAGCACAGTATGTCACAGCAAACGAGATCTATATGCTGGATTTCGTATCACAAAATCACAAGTCAAACACTTCCCAAGCATCTAGGACTGTGTGATGTATTTTCGAATGATGAGTGCAGATCTAAGTAAGGTGGCCTTTTGCAGTTGACAGATGGTGATTTTGTCGATGATGATGATGATGATTATTATTATTATTATTATTATTAACTCTATTTATACCCCGCTAGCATCTCCTGAAGGACTCGATGCGGCTTACAAAGGCCAAGGCCCTCAATAAAACAACAATATACCATACACATAACTCATAAGCAAACCAAAAACAATTAAGCAGTAACACTAAAGCAATAAAACAATACACCGTGACATAATAAAAACTAGGGCCGAGCCGAATGTAGAGGGTACAGTTAAAAAGTGCTGGATGTTTCCAAATGCCGGCTGAGATCTTTTGGCACGGCACCCAGTCTGCCAGTGACCACTGGGACTACCTGTACTAGTTTATGCCAGAGTCTTTGCAGTTCGATTTTGAGGTATTGATAGCGACTGAGTTTTTTTCTGTTGTTTTTCCTCAATGCGGCTTTCACCTAGTATGGCGACATCAATAATCCAGACTTTTTTCTTTTCCACAATCATGATGTCTGGTGTATTGTGTTCCAAAACGTTGTCAGTCTGGATTCGAAAGTCCCACAGTATTTTTGCATGTTCAGTTTTATTTGCATGTTCATTATTATTATTATTATTATTATTATTATTATTATTATTAGTTATATGTTTCTAATTGTGTTTTACTTTGTAACCTTTGTTTATGCTGGTCTTGGTCCCCATGTAAGCCACCCCGAGTCCTTTTGGGGAGATGGTGGCAGGGTATATGAATAAAGTTATTATTATTATTATTTAAATTTTTGTAAGATTCTATTTACATACAATAACAGCTTACAGTGTAAACAAAACACAAAACAGTGAACGTTGTACAAACACATAGCCCCACCACCAAGGCTTGAACAAGTATCCTTTCCTTCACCATGTATTTATAAATCAAACATTAATCAAATGTCATATCCAAAATTCCTGACCAACAAAGTTCTGTTGCTTTCCATTTTCGCTCACTAAGGCATATTTAATAAAGACCGACCAGTATACCTCAAAATCTGATCTGTTAATTTTCCCCCTGAATACCCTCATTTCCATTGTTAATTTATCATTTAAGGCTACATTCCATACCTCCCTATACCATGCATCCAGGTTTTTTTGTTTGTTTGTTTGTTTGTTTTTTGTCGTGTCAGGAGCGACTTGAGAAACTGCAAGTCACTTCTGGTGTGAGAGAATTGGCCGTCTGCAAGGACGTTGCCCAGGGGACGCCCGAATGATTTGATGTTTTTATCATCCTTGTGGGAGGCTTCTCTCATGTCCCCGTATGAGGAGCTGGAGCTGATAGAGGGAGCTCATCCGCCTCTCCCTGGATTCGAACTTGCGACCTGTCGGTCTTCGATCCTGCCGGCACAGGGGTTTAACCCACTGCGCCACCGGGGGCTCCATGCATCCATTGTTAGATTAGTTATTATTTTCCAGTTCTTTGCTATTATAATTCTTCCCACTGTGAGTAAAATAATCACCAATTCTTTCTTACTTGTTTCTAAATTCAGCTTCGTGGTGTCCATTAATAATGCTGACCTGGCATCCGGCATAATATCTGATCCTATAATGTTATTTATTTCAATAAATATATCCTTCCAAAAACTCTTCACTTGGGGGATTATTATTATTATTATTATTATTATTATTATTATTATTATTATTGGAGCTGTAAATTAGGGAGACAACAGCTCTCTTTGGCAAAGAAGGCTAAAGACCTTGTAAAACTACAAACATGGCCCATGAGGTGAAAAGGTGTTTGAGCAATTTCTTTTTGAAAACCATATTTTTTGATGAATTGGAGAGGAGGGTACGCTGCACTTGCCCAGCATCTTCCTTTGGCTCTATCCTACCCATTTGCTTTCTTTAAAAAATCCCCATTTATTCTTTGCAGGTGGTGGAATCAAAGGCCCAAGTCCTTCCGTTTCTGTGTTTCCTCCTGAAGGACAAGTTAAGACAGAAGCTGGGCTGGATGAGGTAAGTAATCTCATTTAGTTTTGCCCAAATCCAAAGTATTATTCTGCAGTAACAATAATAATGGCTAATAATAACAATAAGGGATCATCCAGGAGTCTTATAGACCACAAACTGAACATGAAACAATGGTCTGATGTAGCAGCTAAAAAGGCCAATGCAATTCTTGGCTGCATTCATAGAAGTTGAGTGTCTGGGATCGAAGAAAGTCATAGTCCCACTCTCTAATGTTTTGGTCGGACCTCACAAAAGTACGTCCTTGGTATCTGCAAGTATTGGATTTCTTAGCCCTCTATGGATACCACGGATAGCTTAGGGCAGTGGTTCTCAACCTGTGGGTCCCCAGGTGTTTTGGCCTACAACTCCCAGAAATCCCAGCCAGTTTACCAGCTGTTAGGATTTCTGGGAGTTGAAGGCCAAAAACATCTGGGGACCCCAGGTTGAGAACCACTGGCTTAGGGGTTCACAGTTTATTGAACTGTTCTGCTGGATCCTGAATGCTACTGTCAAAAACCCAAACACAGACTGCAGAAAATTTACTCTGTCAACCCATTGCTCTAGATCAATGAACAAACTTGGGCTTTCCAGGTGTTTTGGACTTCAACTCCGACAATTCCTAACAGCCGGTAGGGTTGTGGCACAGCTGGTTGGGAGTTGGCTGCATTTAAATCACTACTGACTGAAAGGTCATGAGTTCAAAGCCAGCCCAGGTCAGAGTGAACTTCCGGCCATTGTCTAGCTTGCTATCGACCTTTGCAGCCCATTGCACCTGTCAAGTAGGAAATTTAGGTACTGCTTATGCGGGGAGGCTAATTTAACTAATTTAGGACGTCGTAAAACTCTCCAGCAGCGTGCAAAAAGAATGAGGAAGTACTCCATCACTGTCACAAGTGGATGGTGAAGCAACAGCTCCCCCGGTGACCAGAATTCAAAAACCATACCCTCATGAAAGCTGGAAAGTTAAATAGCCTTTGTGTCTTTGCCTATATATGTTGTGTGTCTATGGCATTGAATGTTTGCCATGTCTGTGTGCATTGTGATTTGCCCTGAGTCCCCTGCAGGTGAGAAGGGCGGAATATAAATACTGTAAATAAATAGATAAATCCAAAACACCTGTAGGTCCGAAGTTTGCCCATGCCTGTTCTAGATAGAAAATGTAAGAGGAATATCAGCCTGTTTGAGGATGCATCTACATTGTAGAGTTAATGTAACGGAAGCACAAACAGATGAATCTCTATGTCAATGCTGTTGCACACACAGGAGGGCCTGACTGTTGTGTTGATGGGCATGTCTTGCATTTCCAGGGTCTGCTGGACTGCAAAGACACAGGCGTCTCTTTGCACAGGGTTGAGCGGACGCTGTCCCAGCCGGGCCAACAGACCATCTTCTGGCAAGTCCTGCAGGAGGAGGGCGGAAACGCCCAGCTGTTTGGTAAGGGCAGCTCATATCCATAACCTGTCACTTTTAGAAATAGAGAGGAGAGGGAGAAAGAGAAACCAGTTCAAGTATTACTGCCAGCCCTCTACATTTGCAGATTTTATTGTGTGTGAATTTAATTATAATGTTCTCCTTAGGATCCCCCAGTACAATTCTGCGACCAGTTTCCAGCAGACATTGACCATAGAGTCGTGCTGCAACACCTAGGGATTTCTAAAAAGCGTTCTCTGGTCTCCTAACCCAGGGTAGATTTACTTGCATGTATGTACATAATGAGGAGTCATGGACATGGGACCCAACTGTAAACATGAGATTCTTTATATTTCTTGTTCAGAACATTGGCATTCCCCCTTTAGTATGTACCAACTTGTGAGATACAGACATAATCGTGAGACATAGTCTTATGTACACAGTTGACATACTCATGAATGAAATGGGTGTAGCTAACTTCTCCCGGGGGCAGAAGGAGAAGCCAGGGTTGAGAAAAGGTGCAAGAGGCAGTTCAGGAGAAAGCCTCCCGAGCATGGACAGAATTCTTCCCTGGGTTGTTGTAGGCTTTTCGGGCTATATGGCTATGTTCTAGAAGCATTCTCTCCTGACATTTCACCTGCATCTCTGGCAGGCATCCTCAGAGGTTGTGAGGTCTGTTGGGACTATGAAAATTTAGTTTATATATCTCTGGAATGTCCAGGGTGGGAGAAAGAACTTTTGTCTGTTGGAGCTAGGTGTGAATGTTTCAATTGGCCACCCTGATTATTTATTTATGTATTTAAAACATTAATATTTCACCCTTCACACCCCGAAGGGGACTCAGGGCAGAGCACAGCATATATACGGCAAACATTCAATGCCAGGACACAAATTCACATACAATAAATAAACATTAAAAACATTTATCAAAATATTAAAATACACCATTTAAAACCGTCCTAGTCATCAGCGTAAAATCTAATTGGCCTGGTCATCTTTCCTATTGCTGCTTTATTGCCCTGTCCCGAAAGCTTGGTCCCACAGCCAAGTTTTTACCATCCTTCTAAAGGACAGGAGGGAGGGGGCCGACCTGATCTCACCAGGAAGGGAGTTCCATAGCCGGGGCCCTATCTCTCGCCCCCACCAGTCGCGCCTGTGACAATGGCCGGATGGAAAACAGGGTCTCCCCGGAGGATCTTAATCTCCGCGATGTTACATAGGAAGAGATGCGTTCGGACAGGTAATTTGGGCTGGGTCCGTTTAGGGCTTTATAGGCCAAAGCCAGCACTTTGAATTGTGCCCGGTAGCAAACTGGCAGCCAGTGGAGCTGGCATAACATGGGAGTTGTATGCTCCCTGTATGCCGCCCCAGTTATTAACCTGGCTGCCTCTCGTTGGACTATTTGAAGCTTCCGAGCAGTCTTCAAAGACGGCCCCATGTAGAGTGCATTGCAGTAGTCTATCCTAGATATAACGAGAGCATGGACCACCGTGGCCAAGTCTGACTTCCCAAGGTACAGGCGCAGCTGGTGCACAAGTTTTAATTGTACAAACGCTCCCCTGGCCACCGCTGCAACCTGGGATTCCAGGCTCAGTGATGAATCCAGGAGAACTCCCAAGCATTTGATGGCCTGGCAGTTTTTTAGTGTGGCTTGTTAATGCCTGGGGAAATCTTTTGTTGAGAGGTGATTAGCTGTCCCTGATTGTTTCCTCTCTGGAGTTCTCCAGTGTTTGAGTGTTGTTTTGCTGTTATAATTTGGGAGTTTTTTAATACTGGTAGCCAGATTTTGTTCATTTTCATGGTTTCCTCCTTTCTGTTGAAATTGTCCACATGCTTGTGTATTTCATTGGCTTCTCTGTGTAGTCTGACATGGTGGTTGTGAGAGTGGTCCAGCATTTCTGTGTTCTCAAATAATATGCTGTGTCCAGGTTGGTTCATCAGGTGCTCTGCTATGGCTGACTTCTCTGCTTGAAGTAGTCTGCAGTGCCTTTCATGTTCCTTGATTCGTGTTTTGGCGCTGCGTTTGGTGGTCCCAATGTAAAATTCTTCCCTCTTTGTTTGCAGGTGAGGGGAAGCCAACTTCTCTCAAGGTGGAGGCGTCTCAGCATGGAGGGGGTGAACTGGAGGAGAGGCCCGAGGCAGTGCCACTCGTAAACCAAGGAGATGGATTGTTGACGGAGGAGACATGTGGACAAAGAAGTGAGTCCAAGGGGGGAGAGGAAGGGCTTTCTGTGAGCTCCAAAGAAGTTAGGAAGGCTAGGCATTTCTTGTGGCAGGAAAAGGCTAAACAAAACCATGAGGCAGTAATTTGGTGAATTTATTTATTATTATTTATTTACAGCTTTTGTATCCCATTCTTCTCTGACCTCCGTGGAGGGACTCAGAACAGCTCACGGCAAGGATTCAATGCTAACAATAAAACAATTTAAAACATAATACATAACAATAGGTTAAAATTTAAAAAAATACATATAAAACCAATTTGCCAAGATAAAACAACATCCAACTCAGTCCACACATTGTGGTCAGTACTTTAGTCATTTACCGGTCTCAGCCATCACTCTGCAAATGCCTCGTTCCACTGCCAAGGTTTCACTTGCTTCCTAAAGGTCAGGAGGAAGGGGGCAGATCTAACTTCATTTGGGAGAGAGTTCCATAGCTGGGGGGCCACCACAGAAAAGGCCCTGTCTCTCGTCCCCACCAGCTGCAACTGTGAAGGTGGTGGGACCGAGAGCAGTGCCTCTCCGGAAGGTCTTAACACCCTTGATGGTTTGTAGGGGAGAATACGTTTGGATAGGTAAACGGGGCCTGAACTGTAAAGGGTTTTATAGGTGAAGGCTCTGGTTCCCCAAATGTGGTCAAAGGGATTCACAGAGTCAGAGTCTCCTGGGGAAAACCAAGAAGAACGTCCCAAAAGCTAACCCTGATCAGCGTGAAAGGAGGTTGACATGTGCAAGGAAAGCCATAGAGGGGAGAACACAATATTCATGAAGTAAACTCAGGAAAAATGAACAGAACATTCTGAGACAACGAAGAATTCCTATTGAAGGGAAACCTAGGTGTCCTAAATATTGAGAAAATGTCTCCCTGAGATCAAGTTCATTGAACTGTCAGGGACATTGTATTGAAGATAAACCTCATGAATACCCAGAACATGTGAGGGAAATGTCTTTTTTAAAAATGAATTATTCCCACATCCGGAGGGGGAAAGGATCTCCAAATGTCTCGATTATAGAATAATTATGTCCAGCAAAACACATGGAGTAGCCACCAGTGAAGGAAGCCAAGTTGGCTCTCTTTTTCTTTAATTTCCTCCCAGAACAGAAGCAGAATCACACATTCTCTCAAAGCAAAAGTGAAATGTATGTAAAGAGAATAAGAAAATAACAAATCCTTAAGTGGCAATTAAGAGATAGAAGTATCAGTAATGAGAAGTAGAAGGAAACAGAGTTTGGGGGATGAGAAAGGTGACAAGGACTTGGACGAAATTACTCTCTGTGTCTCTCTAGGTAATGAAAAGAGATGTTGGATCCAGACAGGGACCTCTGAGCTGGGGGAATCTTTGCCAAATAAAAGGCACAAGGTGCGGGCAGAAACTCTTCGTCAGAGTGTCCCCATGACACCCAAAATCCATGACCCCAGATATGGGTCTGAGAGACGACAGAAGAAAAAGCCACCAGATGAGAAACACAAAGAGCCCAGTGAGCTGACCTTAAGCCTTAAATGTGCTGCTGATGAAACCTCCCAAGTGCCCATAGAAGGAGGAAAGGCCTTGCTTCCCAAGAGTGGAAGAAAATCCTGCTGCAAGTCTGATCTTGGGGTCACAGGTCTGGTGGGAAGCCCTATAGGATGCCCCATGTCGGGGGAAGATATCTTGACGAAATCGTTTCTCAGTCAGCCTCAGGAAATGCTTAAAGGAGAGAACCAGCAAGTCATTTCCACACGTGGGGAAAGTCCCCATCAAAGAAATATTTCTGTTCAACTCCAGAATATCCACCCAGGAAAGAAACCTTATGATTGTCTGGCAGATCAGAGAAGCCTTAAACACAGACAAACTTTGAAGAAGTATCGGAAGGCTGATTCAAGGAGAGAGTTGTATATATGCTCTCTGTGCGGGAAAAGCTTTACTAGTAGGACAGAATTAACCAGACATCAGATAATCCATACTGGAGAGAAACCGTACAAATGTCTTGAGTGTGGGAGAAGTTTTAACCGCAGGGAGAACTTGATGAGACACCAGAGGATTCATACTGGTGAAAAACCATACGAATGCCTTTGGTGTGGGAAGTGTTTCAGATGGAAACATCAATTGACTAGGCATCAGAAGAGACATGCTGGAGAGTAAAGCCGTTAAAGCTGATTGCATTTCTGAGAACTCAAGATGGAGATCTTTCAAAAGGACCAAGATTGGGAGGAGTGTCCTGATTTGCTACCCTGGCATTTATGAAGCTCATTAATATTTTTGATCCCTTCATCAGCAGATATTTTTGAAGTATAGAACCATGTTTGAAGAGAATACATCACTCTCAACGGGGACTGGCACTGTCACTATATTCTGTTATTTTAGATTATGTTTTTATCATCCCAGTAAAAGATCTTTGAGAAGCAGCTAGGTAGCTCATATGCATTTCTTATGGTGCTGGTTTTGTTACATACCATTTCAGGGACTCAAACTTAGAGCCATTGAGAATATTGAATTGTGCTATTTTCATCTTGTTAGTACGATATTATTTCTAGCACCCACTCTGTCAGCTTGATATTTTGCTTGATATTCAAGCAGTGCTTCTTATACATCAGAGCACAGTCCAGAGTGACCCCCAGGTATTTTGGTGTGCTGTTGTGCTCCAGTGGGATTCCTTTCCAGGTAATCCTCAGAGCATGAGATGCTTGTCTGCTCTTAATACTGAATTAATACTGAAACGGGGCTACAAAATGGAGTCCACAACACGTGAATGCGGAGAAGAGTAAACCACAGACCACTTACTACAATGCAGCCTGAGCCTTGCCACATGAACAATGGAGGGTCTTCTCATAGCGGCACCAGAGGCATTCCAAGTGGCCTGCTTCTGGTCAAAGGACATTTAACATAATGCCAAGTTCTTGTGTTAAACTTACTTTGTGTTTTTAGATGCAGTTTAACTGTACCCTCAACTCGCTTCTGACACAATAAATAAATAAATCATGTTAGTAAAGAGTAGACTGGCTTTGACTAGGAACACTAAACATGTCATGGAACAATATGCATTCAGTTCCGTGACTTTTGTAAGACTTGCATATGTGCAGATGATCATAGAATCATAGAATCAAAGAGCTGGAAGAGACCTCATTGGCCATCCAGTCCAACCCCCTGCCAAGAAGCAGGAATATTGCATTCAAATCATGATGAGGAAGGAAATGGAAAGGGATGGCTGTGTCTTCAGTGCCCCAAGTAACTTTCCACATGATTCGTTGGAGCAGCTTTTCTATAAATCAGCCATGTTTGCCTTTAATTTTCTAATGCTAGGTTTAATGCAGAAAGCTCAGAATGTAAAACAGGGGTGATGTATCAATACACATGCATAAACATAGACTTAAATGATCCAAGGTGAGCAAAGACATTTTGATTCAGATGGAAAGCAAGAGATGGCAGATGTCACAAATTAGGAAAGCAGTGGCCAGAATAGAGACAAATGTCCTCTTTCTCTCTCTTCAGGTGATGAAAAGGGGTGTTGGAAGGAGATGACGATATCTCCGCAGGTAGAGTCATCGCCACCAGAAGCATCTCAGTGGAGTTTGCCTGTGGCACCCAACTTTCATAAGATGGAATACCAGCTGCCAAGAAAGAAAGATGTTGAATGTCCTGAAGATGGAGAAAGAAGCAAGAGCCACGGACAGTCTTTACAGAGATACCAAAATGCTCCTACAAGAAGGAAACTGCATAATGGCTTCAAATCTAGAGTGCACCTGGCAAGCCACCAGCAAAGTCACACTGGACAGAAGCCATACCAATGTTCTCAGTGTGAGAAAAGCTTCAGCCGAAAATATAATTTGGTGAGGCACCAAGTGATCCATACTGGGGTGAACCCCTATAAATGCCCTCAGTGCAACAAGTGTTTCTCTCAGAGCACTAGCTTGAAGGACCATCAAAGAATTCATACTGGAGAGAAACCTTATACATGCTCTCAGTGTGGCAAGTGTTTCACACTGAGATCTAGCTTGAAGGACCATCAAAGAATTCATACTGGAGAGAAACCCTATGAATGCTCTCAGTGTGGCAAGTGTTTCACTGTGAGATCCAGCTTGAAGGGCCATCAAAGAATTCATACTGGAGAGAAACCTTATGAGTGTTTCCAATGTGGCAAGAGTTTCAATCAGAGACGCAGCTTGAAGACACATCAAAGAATTCATACTAGAGAGAGTCCATATGCATGTTCTCAGTGTGGCAAGTCTTTCGTTCACGGAGACAGCTTGAAGAGGCATCAAAGAATACATACTGGAGAGAAACCCTATGAATGTTCTCAATGTGGGAAATGCTTCCGACAGAGTGCACATTTGATTATCCACTGGAGAATCCATACTGGAAAGAAACCCTATTGTGCCCCGAAGGTGGAAGACACTTCCCTTGACGATACCTGTCAAATAGGCACCACGGAACTCATATGACCTTCATAAGGTCTCTGTCTTCTGTGAGTGAGAAGAACTGTGGACCGAAAGGTGCACTGATGAAACATCAGGGTTTGTGAAGGGTCTGAGATAATGTATACACCATTGTCTGTAGGCCTCTGCAGGATGGGAGGGAATTGGGGGCCCTCCTTCCTTAAAGTGCTGCAGGTTCAAATGGAAGACCAGATTTCTGTTGAGAAATAATTATGTTATATGTATTGTCAAAGGCTTTCATGGCTGAAATCACTGGGTTGTTATAGGTTTTTCGGGCTATATGGGCACGTTCTAGAAGCATTCTCTCCTGATGTTTCACCTGCATCTATGGCAAGCATCCTCTGAGGATGCTTGACATAGATGCAGGCGAAATGTCAGGAGAGAATGCTTCTAGAACGTGCCCATATAGCCCGAAAAACTTACAACAACCCAATAATGTTACAAGTCAGGATACACAGTTTTAAAATCTAGATAAGTGGGTGTTACACAGTGTTTCCATTTTTTTGAAAGTGAAAAGCAGAAGGCAAAACTTTAAAAGAAACGAGAGAATGTGAATTTGATTA